GATGTTCGGACATCTTCGATATACTCCGCGATGCAATCGTACATCGCGCGAGCGCGTCCTTCGGAGAAGCCGGGCGACGGTTCGCGGTCTCGGGGACCAGCGTCGCCGTCGCCGACTCGGACGCGGAGCGCGGCCTCTTGCACATCGGCGGGCTCCGAGCGAATCGAGGTGGGATATTCGCCACTCATCTCGACGCGTAAGGACGCGGAGGTAAACGATAGTCTTCTCGGCTCGATCGTGAGAGTCTTCTAGGTCGGGAGACCACTGTAGTATAATCACCCCCAACGACGAGGGGGGGTGAGTACTGACAGTTCGGAAAGACCCCGATCGGCGGGAAGACAGAAGCACGGCCCACCCACGGTACCGAGCACGGGCTCGAGGTAGCGGTGGTAGAGCGGGATCGGGGAGGACGCGCGCACGCGCGAGCGGTTCTACGCCTCGACGCCCCGGAGCGGTACTGGGTGACGTTCCAGTACCGACGGGCGGAGGCGGAGCCGGCTCGTGGGCGTGCTATGCGCGTCCTCAACCCGCGCGCGGTGCGACTCCTAGGTAAAACGGACGGAAGTACCTAAAAGTAAGCGGGCGGACCAAGGTGGAGGATCCTTGACAAGTCCGTGCTTGTCCCCCCTCCACCGCCGGCGGTCCGCTCATATTTAATGTACACAATTATCTATCATAACACTACAGTACCGATGTACCAGTACCGGTGTGCTGTAGTGGGCTACCGTAGTGCAGGTCGGCCTGCACTGTAATACTGTCAGCCGTCGGGACTGACACTACACGTGTGCGCGCGCGCCCGTACACGTGTAGTACACGTGTGCGCGCGGGCTGAGGTACTGTAGAGCTCGGGCTCTACAACTGCAAATCTAATCTAAATCTAATTCCGGAAGGGGGATATGCCACAGGCACATGCTATTGACTACAGTCCGTATGAAAACTGGTCAACTGTTTTTCTTTCTCCTAACATGACCTCCGTTTTGCAGCCTGTTGATGCTGCAATTGGTCGATCGTTTAAGTGCGCTTTTAGACGTTTGCTTGTTGATCACATACTTACGTATGTGGACAAACAAATGGCTTTACCAGAAGGAGAGCGCTCAACGTTTAAACTGACACAAGCAGTTACAACGTATGATGCTTTGGTTATGATGAAGAAGGCATGGGATATGGTCCCTATCAGTGTTATTCTAAATGGGTGGTTGGTGACCGGTATTATCGCACCGTACCAACGCGAAGAGATGTTGCAGAGAAGGGCGGATGCTGGAAATCGCGCTGAGCCCGCAATGAAAGCGATTTGCTCTTCTGCTACATCCACAGAGTCTGCGATAAATGTGTCGGATGCCCTGCACGCAAGATTGAAAGGAGAGGAGTGGCTTAAAAATGAAGGTATCAATACAGAAAATGATACATCTATATTGGATGAGTCTATTCAAGATTGCGATTGGACAAGAAGCAACATAGATTTATTTACAAACGACTGGGAAGCACTGGCGCGGTTAAACGTGGTGGACAACTTCAGTGAAGCGGACTTGCAGGAGTTTTCTACGATGGAAGAAGGCCTGGATACTTGCCTACAAGTTTCAGGTGGCAATGCCATTGAGGCAGCTGTTTCAATTGCTATTGAGGAAGTAAGGGATGCTGCAACAGAGTCTGATGCAGACCCAGAGGCAGATTCGCAAAGAGAGGAAGAGGGCGTCGAGCAGCAGAAGCCCTCTATTACTGGTTTGCAGGCAGCAGCAGTGGCATTGAGGAAGGAGGCCACTCTATTTTTTCAAAGTGAGCATCCTTTGTCAAAGGACATTAGGGATGATTTGGTCGAAATTTTGGACATTGAGATAGAGAATATTGCCGGCTACCGCAAGCGCTCTGGTCGTCAGTCAACCCTAGATTCATTTTTTCAGAGTTCCTCTTGAGTGACCAGTTAAAATTTTAATAAAAATATACCTTTTTTCAGTAACCCTCTAAAATTTTGGGTCACTGTACAGGTAAGGTCACTATAGTGAGGGGGTCACTGTAAAAAGCAAAAGTGGGCCTTACGGCCACTTAGCCCAATGGTGGCAAGAATTTTTTTTCTAACGGTCACTATACCGAGGGGGGTCACTGTGACAAGGGGTCACTCTATCGATGTTTATCTCTGTACTGTACACGTGGAATGAAACACATTGTAAACTGATTTCTTAGACATCTGATAAGTACCCATTAAGTCTAGATAACTTGCGCCAGCCATCATCCTCAGCGTCACGGCAAGGCGTACATCCGGTGGAATGGTCCGTCGTTTTGCCCGTCGTCCCATTTCGATATTCTTCTGGAGAGACTGCCTAACGCTACTAAGCAATTCATGAAACCCTTGGCGTCGCATTCTGAAAGCCCTGCAGAACAAAGCGTCATCATAAACCAGAGTCAAATTTTCAAACGTCAGTTGTTCCCGCAAACGCAATTCCAGGCGTACTTTCCGCGTTTTCTTGTCTTTTTTGGAATTGAGAAGAATTGCCGCAGCCACGAGCAGGTACAAAAACATCCTTCTACGACGCATTCGCAATAGGACGAGCTCAATTCTGCGGTGGATTTCAGGACTTAGGGCCAGTCCTAACAAAGGACTTTTTTCTCTTTTTTCCTTTCCCTCGCCCAGTTTTTATTGAGTTCTTCACTAAAATCGGAAGCACATTGCTGTAGTTTTTACTGTAATGCCATCCCAAAGTTCCACTCCTCGGAAATGGAACAGAGTCTGGACGGTCTGCAGATCCATGCAGCATGGAAGGTACAGCAACGCCTCCTCGCGCATGCACATGGCCCAGTCTGACTCCCTGTAGCTCGACAAAAGCAAAGCTGGACGACGTGTTGCTATAATGAGGTCCCTCGATGTGCATGACCAAAACGGTCATGATAGATCAGCAACCGCCAGTATCCAACACAGTCCTCCCCAGCACTCCCTTTCCTTCGTCAGGGTTTCAAACTTCTTCTCTACCAATGAAGTTAAGTCCTGAAATCCACCGCCGAATTGAGCTCGTCCTATTGCGAATGCGGCGTAGAAGGATGTTTTGTACCTGCTCGCGGCTGCGGCAATTCTTCTCAATTCCAAAAAAGACAAGAAAACGCGGAAAGTACGCCTGGAATTGCGTTTGCGGGAAC